AGTAGTTACTCGCAGGAGAAGAGAGAGAAAGAAGAGAGAGAAAAGAGAGGAGATGTGTAAAGGAGTAGAGAGAGAGTAGGCAGAAAAAGAGGTGATTCGAAGAGAGAGAGAAAAAGGAGGGATCACTTGAAAGAAAAGTGTAAAGAGAGAAAGTGAAAGAGAGTAGGGAAAAAAGAGATGCCTTGAGAGAGAGAACAGAGGAGATAGATGGAGAGAGATGGAGGGAGAGAGAGAAAGAGGGGGAGAGGAAGGGTGGATAAAAAGAGGAGAGGAAAGAGGAGGGAGAAAGAGAAGGACTCCAGAGCCCTCGATCAAAGGCAGAAAGCGAAAGAGTGACGCGGCTCTGGTTTCAGCGACTATTCCCAGCCGGAGAGAGGGAGGAGAGGAAAAGGGAGAGGAGAGGAGAGGAGGAGAAGGCTGAAGAGAGGAGGAGAGGAAAGAGTGAGGAGAGGGCTGAAGAGAGCAGGAAAGGAAAAGGGAGAGAAGGTGAGGAGAAGCCTGAAGAGAGGAGGAGAGGAAATGGAGAGGAGAGAGGAGAGGACTGCAGAGAGGGAGGAGAGGAGAGACTGAGGAGAGGAGAAGAGGCAGACGAAGAGGAGGAAGAGAGGCATAGGAGGAGAGGAAAGGAGAAGGAGAGAAGCCGAGAAGAGGAGGGACAGAGGAGAAGGGGAGAAGAAGAGGAGGAGAGGCAGAGGCAAGGAGGAAGAGAGACATGGGAAGAGAGGGACAGAGGAAGAGAGGAGAAAAGTAGAGGCAGAGGAGGAGAGGAACAGAAGAGAAGAGAAAAGGAGGAGAGAAGCTGAGAAGAGGAGGGACAGAGGGGCTGAGGAGAAGAAGCAGCAGAGAGGAGAAGAGAAGAAAAGGGAGAAGAGGAGAGAGGGGAAAGAAGAACAGAGGAGCAGAACAGGATGGGCAGAAGAGGAAGAGAGGCACAGTAGAGGAGGAGAAGAAGCTGAGTAGAGGAGAGACAGGAGAAGAAGCAGTAGAGAGGAGAAGAGAAGAGAAGAGAAGAGAAGAGAAGAGGAGGGACAGAGGAGATGGGAAGAAGAGGAGTAGAGGAAAGGCAGAGGAGAAGAAGCAGTAGAGAGAAGAGAGAGGAGAGGAGAAGAGAAGAGAGAAGAGGAGAGAAGAGAAAAGGAGAGAAGAGAAGAGAGGAGGAGAGAAGAGAAGAGAAAAGAAGAGAGGGAGAGAGAGAGAGAAGAGAGAGAGAGAGAGAAGAGAAGAGAGAGAGGAGAGAAGAGAGAGAGAGAGAGAGAAGAGAGAAGAGAAGAGAAGAGAGAGACAGAGGAGAGGGGAAGAAGGAGAGGGGAAGAAGAGGAGTAGAGTAGAGGCAGAGGAGAAGAAGCAGTAGAGAGAAGAGAGGAGGAGAGAAGAGAAGAGAAGAGGAGAAACGAGAAGAGAGGAGGAGAAGAGAAGAGAAGAAGAGGAACAGAGGAGAGGGGAAGAAGAGGAGTAAAGGAGAGGCAGAGGAGAAGAAGCAGTAGAGAGGAGAAGAGAGGAGAGGGAGGAGAGGAGAGACAGAGGAGAGGGGAAGAAGAGGAGAAGAAGAGGAGTAGAGGAGAGGCTAAGGAGAAGAAGCAGCAGAGAGGAGAAGAGAGAAGCGAAGGGACGGGGGAAGAGGAGCAGAGGAGCAGAACAGAAAGCAAAAAAGAGCCACAGCAGAGGAGGAGGAGAAGAGGAAGAGAGGAGGAGGAGGAGGGGCGGAGCGGCGTGGAGCGTACTCCGAAGCAGAAACTAATCAAGGCCACCTCAGAAGTGAATGCCAGATGCTATTCTTACCAGCAGTGTGGGTTCGCCGTGTGTGTGCTGGCAACACTTTAGCACCAGCGCAGATCTCATTACGGTCTGTAAGCGACACTCGCATGACAGCAGGGAGCTCCATTTAGCATGTGCACAGGCTTCGGAAAATAGGGTTAGGTTTACCGAGATAACAGGGCAATTTGTAAACTGGCCAAGGCTGAAAAAGCACCGGAGAAGAAGAGAGAGTCCGCAAGATTCAAACTCAAACGGCAAATAAACGTCAGATACAAGAGTCAGAACGGACAAGTAGGAGGACTAAACGCAGTGAGCTTTTGGGGCTTTTAAAGTTTTAAAGATTTGGACGACTCAATGGATCACTGGGTCGTTCATGAATCTTTTCTTTAAAAATGTTTGTAACTTCCACTTCAAGAAGATGCTGAGACTCTACACCAGATTTATAAAACGTTCTTAATTCTTTCTCAAGTTGCGCCAAATTCACCAACACTCACCTCAGGGTATCCCCAGGTTTGACTACCCCAAATAAAAGACTTTTTAAGGACCTTTTTAAGACCACATAAATGAAAATTAAGACCATCATCGCACCTATTATGACCATTACTCACTGCTTTAAATAACAAAAAATACTTTTATGATACAGTCTCATTCAGAACTCATTTATAGTTGTATGCATTGCTTGTAAAATGGCCATTTATAACTTTCTAAACAAGACAAACGAACCTTTCACGTTGTCTTATCTCACCTTGACTTTCAAAGTGCTTCAACCAGAGAGAAAGAAAGAGAGAAAAAGAGAGGTGTAGTACCTAACCTGGTGGAGGGAGACAGAGATTGCACTGCAGTCTGGTTGAGTTTACAAAAAATAGGATAATGAACTTTAGATTTTTGTGAAAATAATAAGACTTGGACAACAGAATTTAAGAATTTTTAAGGTCTTAATTTAGGAACATGAAATTTAAAACCAATTTAAGACTTTTAAAACCCCACGGCTTCTTTGCACCTACGAACACCTCCACGCTTATTTACATTTCATTTCCATAAAATAATGTATATGTATTTGGTTAGAAACGCCGTCTGAACGTCCAAATATGACCAATGTGGGTTTGGGATTATAACACGTGAAAGTGTGAGGGAGAGAGTGATGAGGAGGTCAGGTGCAGCGTCTACACTAGAACTGTGTTACAGCTTCAGCAGAGATTTCAAACATCCAAACTCACATGAACACACTCACGGAGAGAAGATTTAAGTCATAAACGTTTTATTGTATTTATCGCACTTTCCACGATGGCGGACCTGTGGTAAATAGTCCAGCTCGGTGACCAGGCTCAGGGCTGTGACAGAGGCCCATATGGAGGCACTGGGGCTGGGACAGACTGAGACTCACTGCAGCCTGGAGAAAGTCTGACCTAATAGACACAGACTCTAGAACAGACATGTCCAAACTATGGCCCGTGGGGCAAATGCGGCCCTCAGACACATTTTTCTTGGCCCTTAGGCTTCCAGGTGAATTGGCCCAAATGACCTTGCATCAATTAAAATTAAGCTTTTTACTGCAAGTTTTTTGAAAATCTACCTTGATAAAGCGAATATTGAATATTGAGTGTTTGATTTTGAGGATCTTAGAATGAATAAAGACTGACAGCTCATTCTAATGCATTAAACATGCACATATTTCAATTATTCACTGTATTGAGCACCAGTTTACAGCCCTTGATCAGCCCTCTGCTTTGTCTGTGTTTAGATATGTGGCCCTTGATGAAAAAAGTTTGGACCCCCCTGCTCTAGAACACTGTTTCCCAAAGACTGGGTCATGCAACTCAGGTGGGTTGCAATGGATTTTTTTTGGGTCGCCTTGTCACGATCTGCATGTACGTCTGCAATATACAGTTCTGACACATCAGAGCGAGTGACTATTTTGTTCCAATATTACTGCTTCAATTGAATGTTGAAAAGAAAAAGAAATGTTCTACATTTAATGTCCAAATAGGCAACTTATGGATCCTTTTGTTGCTGCTTCAATGTTTTTTTCATTGTTTAAAACTTGAGTAAAACTAATTGTTCAAAGACATGATCACTCAACAATAAAATATCCTCATTTATGTTTAATAATGGTCAATTCCACCTTTAATTTGTGATTTATGAATAATGTCTGTTGATTTGGGTCGCGAAGGTTTGTGACTTTTAAAATATAACTATAAATGGCTTTACAAAACTCCTCATAAATGTTATTGGAGCTCATAGTCGCATGTTTATAGGAAATAATTTAAGAAAATATATAACTTACAATCATGGACGAATTAGAATATTTTGTTGCATTATCAGAGTAATAATATTCTAAAACTGTAGAATTTTTGTTCTTCGAGTGCTCCTGACTGTTCGTAGGATTTGTTCTTAGAGAAGAATTTTCAGTTAAGAAAAAGTTTTGTGAATGCCAAAAATGTTCATAAGAAGACCTTAAGTACAAATTTCATGAATGAGGCCCATTGTATTTAAGATTTAAGATGAAATTTCACTATTTTTTCCCCAGTTTGGCCAATTTGTAAGTTTTAACTTGATGTCCTGGTTTAAAATCATGACATGACGCTGGAGAATTGAAATGTTACCGAGCAACAATGTAGTAGACTAGGCCGACATCTTTATTTGACAAATAAAAATACAAGAAAACAACTTTATTTTGTTGAAATCTTGTTCAAAGTGTCAGAAAAATGTGTTTCTGGCGTGTGAATTATGACAAACTTTTTGGACAGAATTCTCCCAGTGTGGGGTCTGCGTGGAACCGATGAAAATAGAACTCTCTACTTCCTGTCATTTTCAACATATTTTTCAACTTTTTTTTTGTAAAATGCTTCTTGACTGATGTAAAACTATAATTTAAACTTTCAACAGTCATTATTTCACCAGATTAAGTCAAAATTAGAAAATAAAAACCTGTTATACACGCCTATAAAACATGTTTTGGTTTAAAGTGTGCTCAAAACAAGTCTTCTACTCTCCGTTATCAAACAGGTGCTCTTCCATGTTTTTAAAGTCCAAACACAAGGACTCTCCAACATCTGAGGGCTACTAACGACGCCACTTTACTTCCCTATTTCCATTTTGACTCCTGAGTGTATTCAATGCCAAATTTGACACACCATTTGTAATCAGAAACACTACACTTGAAACCGAAGTAGCCAGAAGGAAGCGCACGCAGTTTTTTGACCACAAAGCTTCAAATATAGACGTGCGGGTGCTTGGGTACTCACCGTCCTCCGTCTCCTGCCACACGATGCCCTCCAGGTTGACGCTGGTGCCGGGCTCACAGGGGCCCAGGCACTCGGGCTCCGTGGAGAGGGCCACGTCCGACGTGTTGACCGCCACCGAGCGGGACCGCACCATGATCTGCTCGCACGGCGACGAGATCTCCGAAGCCCCGCCCCCCACCGTGGAGGAGGACAGGAGGTGGAGAGGCGGAGGAGCCGGCGTGGAGATCGGGGAGTCCATCTGCACAAAAAAGAGAGAGAGAGAAAGAGTCAGCAGAGTAAACCAGGGTCGTCAATAGTATCGAAAATCAGATACAAAACAGATACTAAAACAGTCTAGTTCATTCAGTGTAGTGAAGACTGCAGGGAGCGTTGCACTGGAGAATCAAAACAGCCACTTTGTAAGAAAATGTACAAACACAGACGAGAGAACAACACAGGACCCCAGTCTGCTGTACATCTCCATCTCAAAGCCACTAACCAATCCTTTGAAGACAGTGAAGTACAGAGAATACAGGTGAGGTATAGGACTTGGACCCTGCGGTGAAGTGACCCCGGGTTCAACATACCATAAAGTATTTTGACCCTGGGGTCAGAATCCTGTTATGGTATGTTGACCCCCCTGTGAAAATCTATTTTATTTATAAAGAACTTGAATTCTATAGAAAAACTTTGAATATTACCGTATTTTCCGCACTATTAGTCACTCTGGATTGTAGACGCAGTCATTAAATGGTCTATTTTCAAACTTTTTTCACAAATAAACCGCACCGGACTTTAAACGAAACACAAAAGTTAGATAACCACACCGGACTTTAAACGAAACACAAAAGTTAGATGGCTTAGTCGGACTTTGTCACATTCACGGTGACTCTGGGCTTTGTTCAGTTGTGGCGTGTAGGGAGGGTGCTGTCTGGGACCAACGGATTGTCGGACGTGTTCATAGTGACTCAGTTGTTCAGTTGTGTCTAGAAGTGGCACATTTGACTCGCTTTTTCGGTTCGTTCCTCCGTTTTGTTCCTCGTCGGTGTGGAGTGATGAGTGTGTCTCCGGTGTGTTTTGTTGTGCGGTTGCTGTCTGCTCCGTGTGTGTTTGTGTGTTCTGTGGGTGTAGTTTACTGAAGTCGTGCTGGGACACCCGAGTGGATTCATGTATAGGGCGCTCTGGCTTGCGGGGCGCGCCGTCGTTTTTTGATGGGGTTGGAGTCTTAAGAGCGCGTCTAATAGTCCGGAAAATACAGTAACACTATATCTGCAAATTAAAACATATTGACATATTTAAAAGTGTTTTTGAAGAACTCAGATGCATTTTTATATCGATTATAACTTTTGAATGTTAAAAATGACGTAGTTGTTTAAACACATATTTTACTGAAAATGAGACAAGTCGTTATTAATAAGTTCGGTAATCAAAGTGATGTGTAATGATTTGGAATCTTGTTAAATTTGACAGGGCTGATCAGTTGAGTAGTTAAATAGGGGAAACATATGACTATAGTAATCTGACCCCCAATATGTTTATTATAGTTATTATGATGTAAAGTAACAAGTAATGTTGGTTGAATATTGACAATGATCAGTTATATATAAAAAAGGTCAAAATCCTGTGACTATAATAATCTGACCCCCAATATGTTTATTATAACACAACATGACTAAATTCAAATTCATTATCTTTACAAACTATTGCCTAAATTGACATTATGATTATCTGAACATTGCTCAACTTAAAGTGTTGAAAATGCAGGATATTGTTGACTTAAGTCTCCTCAAAGTCACGTATAAAGCAAAGTGCAATGTATTACCTGTAAATATTCAAAGACTGTTTGAGATGAGAACAAGTCACTACAATTTAAAAGGAACCTACATGTTTAAAAAAAAAAAAACAGATTCAGAACCGAGGTTATGGAGCGAAGTGTCGCTGTGAAAGGAGTTCACTTATGGAATAATATTGACAAAGAAATAAAAAAAATCATGTACAATGACGACATTTAAAAAACATAAAAAATCGAATGCAGTGTGTATGTATGAAAAAGAAAACTAAGTTGTTGTGCATAATAGTGAAGATTTCTGTTTGCAATTGATCAGTAATTGTGCCTGAACTGATATGGAATGTTCAGTAACCATCAGTGTTTATGTTTTGTCTTGAAAAGGAAAGGGGGCAGATAACATAAGATTTTTTCTTCTTTCTGCTCCTTTTCATTCATTTCTTGTGTGTCTGATGTTGTGACACTCTCGATGTCTTTTTATGCTTTATGAATGAAATAAATAATACAAAAAAAACATAGCAAACTAAAAACCATAACAATGTAAAATACAATATAAAAAGTGACAAGATTACTATGTATATGCAGTTTGAACATTATGTTACATTTACACAAAATACCAAGTCGTTCTCCATCAAAACATTCCTTAAAATACCTTAAAAGGTCATGAATATGTAGCAGTATAGAATAAAAGTAAATGACATGAGAAATAATGATCAGATAAGTAACTACTAAAGAAAAAAGTAAAGGGAGTCCAAATCCTATAGGGGGGTCAACATACTATGGGGGTCAAAATACTATCTCACACCAGCTCAAACGTCCCACTGGCTTGAAAGTCCCAGCGCGAACGTTCCATTCTCTTAGCGGGAACATCCCCCTCCTCACTCCGGGTGCCACCTTCTCTTGGGCGGCACATGGTTAATTGCTGTACCCGTGAGGGGGGGGACATTCTCGCTGGTGATGTATCGAGTTCAGCTTCTGTATCATAATAAAACAAAATGCGAACGTAGCGAAACCAAATGTCGATGTTTATGTTTTATGTGTTCATTTTCCCGATCTTCCTGAGGCGGCACACATTACTTCAGGATGCAATATCGATATAATCCTCATTTGCTCGCCGACGTTTACTATGTGGACGTGGACTATTCCGAGGAGTGAATACACATGAGAAATTGATAATACATAAAGCGTGTGCCTCACTTGTGGACTATTCCCGAGGAGTAATTTGACGCACTGTATTTACTCGATTTGTGTGTGTGTTTTGAGACCGCATCATTTTTGCATGTTTCGTTTGTATGTATGAACAAAAGTGCTGAGATTAGGGCTGGGTATCAATCAGAAGTTGCCGATACGATACATATCTCGACACATAAGCCGTGATACGATACATATCTCGATACATAAGTCACGGTACGATACATATCTCGATACATAAACCACGGTACGATACATATCTCGATACATAAGCCACGATACGATACATATCTCGATACGATACATTTCTCGATACATAAGCCACGATAAGGCTTGTAGCATGGCTGTGATTTATTTATTTATTTCGGTCACAGGTATATTTTGACATTAATTCACAGTCAGTCATATTTAACACACACAGACTGAAAAGGTGCAGGCTGAAGCTTAAGCTTATTCTGCCTTTACCCTTCGTTCCTTTATCAGAGCGTCATCTTGACACGAGTTCATCTTCAAAAATACAACAGGAGGAAACAAACTAATCAGTAACAGTACAACAAAGTATTACAGCACAAACTAAGTCTCATATTTCATGTTTCTGTCCAGAGTTAAACATTTAAACTTCTTTATAAAGTTAAAGAGACTGGTGCACAATTTGAGGTTTTCTGTACAGTTGTTCCAAAGCTCCACCACTTTAACAGATATACAAAATTTTATGTTTGTTCTGATTTTCTTTTTAATAAACATGGCCGTACGTCTGAGCTCATATTGGCTCTTTCAGATTTTGAACATGTTCTGTAAAGATTTTGACCGGAGATTGTTGTTGAGTATAAAGGTTGACTAAATCATAAAATTTCAGAGTTTGAAGGTTTATAAATAACGCATTGGTTGGTTCGTTATAAGTTGATAATGTGATGCTCTTATTGCCTTTTTTTGCAGGTAAAGATTGGCTTTGTATTCGTCTTATATGTATTGCCCCAAATCTCAAAACAGTAGGTTATGTCGGGCATTACCAGCGAGTTATATATAATAAAAAGACTGTTTTTATCTAGGGTATATCTATATTTATATATAATTGCGATCACTTTGGATAATTTATTTCTAATTGTATTTATGTGTGATTTCCAGTTTAAATTATGATCTATAGTTACTCCTAAAAACATATTTTGAAAGACTCTTTCTAGTGGTGTATTATTGAGCATAATGTGTACACGATTTTGTACTTTTCGCTTTGCAAATATAAATTTAGTTTTTTCTATGTTTAGTGATAATTTATTAATATCAAACCAGACTTATTTTCTGCAGCTCCCTCTCCACCATTTGAAAAAGCTGAGGGTGGTATCATCACAGTGATACTAAAGTCTTTGTTAAACCACTTCTTGTGCAAAGTGAATATGAAACACAAACATTTTAATCATCAAAACTGTGAAAATGTCAAATGTGTCACTTAAAAAAGTTTCCTTCCTCTAAACTGGCAACAAAACTGTAGCACTGTAACAAAATAATTGAGACAAATATACCAAAAAATGCTCTTGGCGATATATCGATACAGCAGCCCACGATATCAACACTGTATCATTACATTAAACGATACGATATAGCGAAATTTCAATATTTTTGCACACCCTCAGTTGAGATAGATTGTAACTTTTGGTTGGTTTGAGAGGAGTTAAAGAGGCTATTTTGGTCAGGAAAGACAATCCATCCTTGAACAGAAATGGAACAAGGAGGGTTCAGTCATCATCTCTCTCCTGTTTACAAGTCCGCCCTTAGACCTAAATCAAAACAGGGCTTTAACACCTCTGAGCCTGTACACTCAGAGGTGTGAAAGCTCCCATCAGAGGCCTGAAGGATCATGCTAATATGACTCAGGCACAGTTCACACTTGGAGATCAACAGACCGAGCTACAAACAGAAACTGCAAGAAGTAGGGTGCTAGTTTCAGAGTAGTTTCAGAGTAGTTTCAGTGTAGTTAGCTCCTCCCTTCAGGCAAATAGAAGGAAGTGTCCACCAGCGTCTGACCAGAACTGAAGAAGCATCTTAAATAATCTCAGAAGGACAATGGACACAAACTGAAAAAGGAAACTGCCTCTCATCTATTTTGGACCTGCCCAGACTCTGTTTTTTTGGAAGGAATTTGTCAAACATATGCAACTTTGTCCCATTTTACCCTTACTTTTAAAGACATGCTGTTCATTTTTGTTGAAATGCATCACATGAAAAGTAAACTATATTATACTGTATTAATTATTTTCTCAAAATGTCATATCCATAAATGTAACTGC